TTGATGATGATGATAAAAGTACTATCACGATCATTTGCGTTTAGAGGCGTCCAACAATGATCGACAGGATCGTTCAGTGTTTGTCTCAGAACAGAACCCGGGTTGGCCTTGTTGCACGATTACACAGTAACATGTCTTCACCAAATCTGGTTTCAGATCTAAAACCCTGATGTCCTTTAGACACCACTTCTCTTCAAGTAAGCTTGGGTCTACTACTTCACCTCATACCGAATCATTTTAGTCTAGTTCTTCCACATCTGACAACTCATCTCTAACTTTCTATTTATTACCTCATTACTCAGACCCTTTCTCAGAAAGACTACATTATTTTTTTCATCATCTGCATTTCTGTTCTCTCCACCTTCTTATGTTACTATATTAATCAACATCAATCAATCCTTGTTTAAAAATCCTTTTTCGTTTCGGGTTGAACTTTTGTATTCTTCAATTTCTGTCTCTTAGCCTTTCGATCATTTGCGTTTAACTTCCTGATATTTAGTGCCTTCAAATTTTTCTGTATAGTTGGCATCCAAGACTTTTTTGGGCGACTCCATGGTTGGGTACCAGGCACTTGACGGTTTGTGACAGAGATTATCGTTCCATCTTTGCTTCGCTTGACATGACCAAACCAACGTAGACTATGACTATCTTTTAGAGTGCACAATCTTGCACGTCTCAAAATTTTGGTTGTATGGATATGGTCTTTCAAATCAACGTGTTGCATCTATCATATCATTTTCATATCCGTTTGAAGAAGTCGCTGCTCGATTCTTATTGTCATTGGTCACGTCTCTGCACCATACGTCAATGCGAAGCGTATCACTGAATAGTTCAACTCTGAGCGGAATGGCAGTGGAATGCCGCGCTGCATTAGCATCGATGCGAGGAGATGCCACCTGCACCTTGCCGCACGTGAATGGCGGCCTCAGCTGTTTTAGGGCAATCCAGTACATTCCCCATTGTTTGGAATGATGAAACAGTTTTTATCCCTGTAGTTCCAATCGTATTACTGTGCGGACCCTGCTGCCGCGGATTGATGCAAGCGGGGGAGATGAAATCGACCACCTTCTTTATCGAACCAGTATTTTTTTTAGCGCATTTGTGACACCATTGCTAGCATTTGATTGAATTGCTTTCCACTTCAGCACTGCAGACCGAACGCGGCCAGTGACCAGTGTCCATGGGTTCAGCGGATTCACCAGTTTGATCAACATAATTTTTACTATTATTAATTTTATTAAAAATATGTTTGATTAAAATGATTTTGATGGTTTCATACTTAATGTGATGCTATTATTTATTTATATAATTTATTAATAAATCATTCTTTAACAATATGAAGTGTGTTCTTGTCTGTGAAATTGAATTTAAATAATGCAAAAATGGTAGATTGGAGCAACACTTGTAATGTAATGATTGTAGCTTTGTGTTTAAAAATTTATTATTTTATATTAATTTGCTTAACAGACCTTATAATTGGTTTTTTGTTTTTATGTGTATGTTCATTTGCATTTTTATGCCTTATGAATTTTTTCAACAACAATTTACCACTTATATAAAATAACCAATTATAAACATCGGATGAAATAATATTGACCGATATAGTATTTTTTTTAAATTGTTTGATATAATAGTTTGAACTTGATTTTTTTAGAATAATACTAAACTTGACAAGACTTTGAAAGAAGACATTTCAAAAGATGACAGAAAAAATAATTTAACAGAAGCTAAAAAAACATCAATCAGTCATTCTACGAGGACTAATCAAAATGAATCAAAAGAACACCCAAGCCCCATCCAAAATTTTGACCTCAAAAATGAAAACCTGCGAGAATCAGAAATTGAATCACAACTCACCAGTATTAAACCCTTCTATTTTCCTATGGGTGTTCCGAGCAAATCTTCAGAAGATGAAGAAATATTGAAACTGGCAGAGATGGAGTTTGAAATGTGTGAGGGTGGCAGAATATCAAAGAGACAAATCACTGTCCTAACAAAGGTCAAATAAATATGCTTACTTAATAATACATTCAATTTTACTTGGCTTTTGATTTTGATGTTTGTATTTTTTTTTAAATATATTTTAAAGATTTGTAAATTGCCTTCATATTGGAAAATACCGTTCTTCAATTATTTGTGCGTCAACTCAGATGACGATCACATAAATCTGAAAAATTTTATTCCTGCTTGGAAGAGGTAGTTCTTGATTCTTTTTATATTTGAGCTAATCTTATCCGTGATTGTTAAATATTGTTGATATATTTTGCTTTATTGTTGCATTGATTAGTTGTAAATGAAATAACCTGAACAAGCTGTTAGTTACATAATAAATAAATAAATTAAATTAATTAATTATTAATATAATATATATATATATATATAATAATTATTAATTAATTACGTCCTGGGCATGACATAAAACTGCATCCACGCTGCCTTGCGTGCTTTTGAGCAAAAGGCTAGGCCCACCGCTTATAACTGGTGGTTGTCGTCAGGATGGGTGTCCGGATGTAAAAACTTTTCCCCAAATTATTCCTATGCCATCACAAAGAAAAACAACGGCCCCTAGTCCCCAGCAGGCCTTAAGTGGTCAAGGGGTGCCAAGAATCCCTGGGAAGTATGCAATAGCGGAGGGATGTTGCAGAAAAATTCAGAATGGCCCCTCTGTGGTACTTAGACTTGGAACGCTCAATGTTGGATCACTGACTGGCCGCAGCATGGAAATCGCAGAAATGCTCGAGCGTAGGATTGACATCTGCTGCCTTCAGGAAACCCGATGGAAATCGAATGGTATCTGTCATGTCAACTCAGACAAAGAAAAATATAAACTATTCTGGAATGGTCAAAAGACGGCCAAAAATGGTGTTGGAATTTTTGTCAGAGAACCGCTAGCCCAAGAAGTACTGGATATTAAAAGGATTAATTCACGTCTCATGTGGATCAAGCTTCGCATAAAAAGCAAACAATGATTATTTTTTCTGCATACGCACCACAGACAGGCGAATCAGAAGAGATGAAAAATAACTTCTGGACTGCATTCTCTGACACCATCTCAACAATACCAAAATCTGAAACAATCCTGATTAGAGGCGATCTCAATGGCCACGTTGGAGAGAAAACAGATGGTTTTGACAACGTACACGGCGGTTTTGGCTATGGAAAACGGAATGAAGATGGCAACCGCATCCTTGAGTTTGCTGAAAGTCACGGGTTTTGTTTACTGAACATATATTTTAGAAAGAGGTTGGAAAATCTCATAACATACAAAAGTGGACCATCAGCCACGCAAATTGGTTTTTTCGCTGTCAAGCAACCACGCCGAAGGCTGTTCAAAAACGTCAAAGTTATACCTGGCGAATCATGTGTCGCCCAACATAGACTCCTTGTGGCAGACATGGTTGTCGAACTGTCAAAACATAAGTCTAAACAAATGCCTTGGAGAATCAAAACGTGGAAGCTGAAAAGCAATATTCATCGAGAAAAATTTCAACAGATTGTCGCCACACAGTTAGACCACCAATCGCAAGCCAGTACAGATTGGAGTACATACAAAACAGTTTTGATAAACGCTGCAACTACAGTTTGTGGGAAAACTGGTACAAAACGTCAGCATGAACGGGACACTTGGTGGTGGAATGACAGTGTACAAAATGCAATAGCTGAAATTCACATCCTTCGGCAACTGCAAGAAAAGTACCTCGCAAAGCATCAACAACCATCACACATTTTGTAGACCTTGAAAAAGCATTTGATCAAGTTCCCCGTGAAGCAATCAGGTGGAGTCTACGTCGACAACTCATTCCAGAATATCTTGCTCGACTTGTGATGGAAATGTATACGAATACTAAGACTCTTGTCAGCACAACGGTTGGAAACACAGATGCATTTGACATCGGCGTTGGAGTTCACCAAGGCTCGATTCTCAGTCCACTGTTATTTATAACTGTGATGGAAGATATCACAAAACCGATACGCACTGGTGACATTTGGAATCTAGTATATGCTGATGAAATTGTTTTAACAGCCACGTCTGAGCAGAATGCAGCACAAATGTTTGAAGATTGGAACACCAGACTCGCCGATCATGGATTCAAAGTCAACATCAGCAAAACCAAAGCAATGAACACTGGTGAACCCATCCAATCCACAGCTACTGGACGATGGCCCTGTTCTGTTTGTAAAGCTGGTGTAGGTAACAATTCAATCATGTGTCAGCAGTGTAACCAGTGGTGTCACAAACGTTGTTCAAAAATAATTGCTACTTTATCTACTAAAGTGTCCAATTTTGTTTGTCCTGCTTGCATCAATCCACAACAATAAATTTGAAATAGAAATGTTTTCGAAGCCATTAAGGTAGAGAAAGTCACATCGTTTCAATAAGTAGGGGATGTTCTGGATTGTACTGGAACAGCTGAAGCTGCCGTTCGAGCACGCATACGTGCAGCCTGGAATAAATGGCATCTCCTTGCCTCTATATTGATGCGGCGTGATATCCCTCTACCACTACGATCAAAACTTTATAAATCTGTGATACGTCCGGTGTTGTTATATGGTGCAGAAACATGGCCAATGACAACCAAACTGGAACAACAACTTCAACGAACCGACATGAAAATGCTCCGACGGATGCAACGAATTAGTCTGAAGCACCCCATCAAATCTTCCGAAATCTTGCGTCGTGCTGGTTTAGATGATATAAAGGACGAATGCCGGCAGCACCGTCTGCGGTGGTTTGGTCATGGTTCGGTTGATGGCAAAGAAAACAACGTCCTACCTCGGAAAACCGGGTCTCTGGACGCAAAACGAAGATTGATTTTGATTGATTGAATTAATTATTTTATTTATTTAATTATAAATAAATAAATTTATTAATTATTTTATTACATGTTAATTGATTGATTAGTTAATTAATTTTATGACTATTCGATTAAATTATTTAGTTATTAAAGGATTAATTATATAGATAAATAATTAAATAAATGAATAATCAATTAATAGGTATGTATTTTTTCAGATTAAAACAAAACTGTTTTGATGAGGCATCATCTTTTGTCTTCATTTGCTCCAAAGGGAAAAAAAGTTTTCTTGAATTTGATGATTTTTTGCCTTTGGTTCAGGTTTTTCAATCAAATTTAAAACATTTCTATTGAAGTTTTGTATTGCACTTTTGAAATATTTAAACGTAGTTCATGAAATTTATATTTACCAGCTTTAAATAAAATTAGTTTTCATCAAATCCTAAACCATCAAAAGAGTTTATTGATATATTACATACCAATCATTTCGCATCACTTGATGTCGAATCCCTATTCACAAATGTTCCTGTCAAAGATACTATCGACATTATAACTAAAATGGTTTATTTAGCAATATTCACCTTTAAAAATTTCAAAAAATACTTGAAACAGTTTTTAGAAGTTTTTACAACAGCCATCCATCAGCCCTACTGGTAAACTTTATAAACAGATTTGATGGAATTGCATTGGGATCCCTTTAAGGGTTCTCTTCGCTAATTTCTATCTTAGGTAATGTAAACAAGTAAACCTTCAAACAAAATCCGAAACTTAAACCCAACATCTACACAAGATATGTTGATGATTTTTTTGTATCTTATAACGATGCTAATCTAATCGACAATTTATTAAAATTATTCAATAAATTCAAAGTAAAATTCACCATTGAATTTGAAAGTGATAAAAAAACTCCCTTTTCTCGGTGTTCTTTTCACTCGCAACGAACACAACTTTCAAACCTCCGGTAATAATAAAGGAATATGGTTATAGTGAAGTAGTGAATGTACTGATGAATATAAATTGAGTACAGTAAGATCATTCATCAACCGCGCCTTCTCACACTCCTCATTCCCAGAGACGTTTCATCGGAAATCAAACGTGTCACAAATTTTTTTTATAAATAATAATTACTGCGCAGATCTAATTAACATCCAACAACGAATCACGACAACACTTCCAACTCGAAATATGAACAGCAGTAACGTTAATCGGGTCAACCAGCAATCTAACAATGATGATAATTCGAACTCATCATTCACAATAGCCGTAAAAAATAACATTACCTCCTGAACATCCATCAATCACTCGCACAAATCAATTAAAAATATAAGGCATCACATTCACCTCCACACTTAATATAGCACCTCATATCAATCACATCATCACAAAGGGCTTTCAAACATTTCACGCACTGAAAACACTCCGTTCACATGGTCTCAGAGGCGTCAAATTATTCGACATCACCGAATCACTCATCATCTCACGCATCAAATATGCAGCTCCCTCCTGGTCTGGTTTTGCCACGCAACAACAACTTCAGCAACTACAATCTCTCATCAAAAAACTAATTCGCTTCAACTACCTACCTGCATCATATCCTACCGTCACTCAGATATTCAACACACTCGATTCAAGGCTGTTCAAGAAAGTAGAAAATAACAACAACCATGTCATCCATTCTCTACTACCACCAATTAAAACTACAACACACAACCATAACTATCTAGTCGCCATCCAATCTACATATCAGGAAAAGACCTTCATCACAAGACACCTCAAACTTATTCACACTCAAAAAAACTTTATCATTCATTCACATAACTAGTTTTTATTTATTTATCAATCACCTCACTAACTCACTAAGTCATCATCTAGTCTATTAATTTGCCTTTTTATGCCATTACTTCATTTTATTGTCAATTTATTTCGTTTTCTTTTATTTATTTTATTATTATTATTATTTTCCATTACAATTTTATGTTTTTTTTTCGAATTTATTTGTGTATATTTTTAATAATATTAAAGCTATAATAATACTTATCAATGAATTAATAAATAATGCACTAATGATAGATTTATTGCGACGTTAAACCGTCATCGCCAGGGCATTATTTATTAATTTATTAATTAGTATTAGTATAGTTTTAATATTATTAAAAATACATACAAATATCAGTCTATTTGTTACATTGTACATCGTATTGAATAGATTTTTAATAATATTAAAACTATAATAATACTAATTAATGTATTAATAAATAATGCTCTGACGATGACGGTTTAACGTCAAAATAGATCTATCTGCAATAATTTTAAAGAAATGTTTGTTAATAAAAATAAAGTTTCACTTTTAAACAGACTCAATTTTTTTGATAAAAATTTACTAAGACAAATTGAAAAATTCGAATAAGTTGATAAACAATAATAAATCGGTGGAATTTATTACACACACACACGCACACACACACACACACGCGCGTGTATGTGTGTGTGTATGTATATCTTATATATATATATATATATATATATATATATATATATATATATATATATAGATTTATTTATAACATTGTATAGCGTGGTTCTGAAATGGTCCATTTAAATGAGCTTGTATTCTATTTGTGTTTTTAATCAAAAATTGTAATTAAAGCTTCTCATTAATTAATGAGTCATTTATTTCGATATAGTTAATATTAGAGTATTAAATATAAAGAAATATACTTTGCAAATTTTTGCAGGATGTTGTCGACAGCCACCCTGGTCTCACATTTTTGCAAGACGCTCCTGAGTTTCATTCTAGATATATACAAACGGTGTGATTTGTTTTTTCAGTTCTATCACAAAAAATTATGCTCGAAAATATTAAATTTGCTTACTATATGTCTATTCAAAATCATGTCATTCATTAATTTTAAATCAACAACATTTACATAGTTACAAAAATTGGCAGTTGCCAAACCATTTCATTAAAATAATAGTATTGATGTTGTTTTTGGAAAAAGTGGATTGAAAACAATGTAAAAATTTAATTCTTAGGTTATTTCAAGAATATTTTATTGCCTCAATCGCTCTTGGTCTGGTAAAATAAGTGTCACTGAAGTGAGACTTAGCAACCTACTACAGGTATTCAAATTTTTTATGAGCTATTACTGCATTAATAAGAAATTAAAGAATTAAATCATTTATAAATAACAGACCATTGAAAAACTAGAAGTGCAAGACGATATTAACGCAATTCTGGATTACTTTTCATATGAACATTTTTACGTCATATATTGCAAGTTCTGGGAACTCGATCAGGATCATGATCTGTATATCAGCGAAAGTGATCTGGCAAGACATAATAACCACGGTACAATTGTGATCATTTTTTAAATTTTGTCAATTATACATGTGTCAACATTTTTTAAAACTTATCTGTTCGATATCCGTAGCGCTTTTTACTGTTTGCAGTTTATCAAACTTAAGGGCAAACATTTTCATCAAATTTTCATTAATGACTGATAATATAATCCTAGATGATTTGGACCTACCAAATTCTGGCAAAGAAAGATGATGTTTCATTGTATGACATTTTAATTTAAATCACTAGCAGCATTTTTGAGATTTTTCATGAAAGCGCTATTTAAATTAATAACAACGGAACGACTTTTATTTCAGTCGTAAAAACATTATTAAAAAAGAAATTGAACACAATAAAATATTAATTAAAATAAAATAGATAAAAATTTATGATAGAAAGGATATCGGTGACTAAAGACATGCACAAAATTATAATATAATAACCAAAAAAGCTCTTTTCTCATTGCCAACAGCTTGTGTAGAGAGTTCAAGATGGCAACAATTGAATCACATTTTGTTCCTTTCAAAATATTTCAGAACGGAATTAAACGACACGTTTGACGAACAAACGAAAAAAAGACCAACAAACAAGAGTCTTGAAAGCAATATTAAGAGGACGAATTAAGCAGCTGAATAGTGAAGACAAACGCTTTTAAGTGACAAACGAAAACATCTTAGAAATAAATTCGGATAGCAAATCGGAGTAACGACAAATGTACCTGACCGAACCAGTAACAGCTGTAGAAGATCCTGGTATTATTTCACCAGCTTATTCAACTACCTAAAATTACATTAGCGATCTCAAGTCTATCATTCTTACGGATGATTTCCACTGTGAAGAACGTTGTAACTGGGATGCACGTTGCAACTACGATGCACGTGTCAATTGAAGAAAGTAGGCAGTTATCGTAATGATGAAGATGGTGATAAAGGCGAAAATGAAGGTTTTGAAAATATTGGAGAAGTTGGTTACGACAAAGACATTGAAACTTTCGATATGCAGTGGGGCTACTACTCAATTTTTTTTATTATTCTTTTAAAATTTCTTATTAACTTTTTATTATTAAAGTTTAATAAATTCAATATCAATATCTCCAAAAATCCAATCTAGTATCTCCAAAATAAAACCTTCATCAAAGCTAACGACATCTATCAATGGTCAAAAACTATGGAGAATCTTGCAGGAGTCCTTTTCAAATTTGTTAGGAAATATTTAGTCTAGCAGCTGCCAGCAAACGCTAATTTGTTTAGATCGGGCAAAACGCCAAGCCCTCCATGCCTTCTCTGGCTCTCGACAGACAAATAGGCATGTGGTTTCTAACTGTAGTTCTACATCCGCTCTATCAAATTATATCGAAGGACACAAAAAGATTATAGCCGCGATCACCAAACGGTAGAAATTATGTGCACCTGCCAATTGTCATTTATTTGCAAATTTGAAAGTTAACGATGTTCATCCTATATCGGATTTGTCCAACACTTATCCGATATTGACGTACTAAAAGGAGATTTTTGAGTTAATGGTGTGTCATAAATCTAATCTAGAATCATCATAACAATACAAGATAAATAAATATTCCGATAAATTGCACAGCTATTTAAATGACATTTAAAAACACAGTTCAATAATATTATAAACCATTAATCTTTGTTTAACGTCCAGAGACCCAGTTCCCCCGAGGTAGGACGTTGTTTTCTTTGCCATCAATTTTTTGCGCCAGATTAGGTGATCAGTTGTATCCATTTCATTTAAATTTAAACCTTTCATGTCTTGCTCGATTGTTTGCGACCAGGACTTCTTTGGACGGCCTTTGGGACGTGTGCCATCTGCAAGAAAAGTTATGGCACCGTTTCCACTTCGTTTGACATGACCAAACCACCGCAGACGGTGCTGCCGGCATTCGTCCTTTATATCATCTAAACCAGCACGACGCAGGATTTCGGTAGATTTGATGTTTTCCTTCAGACTAATTCGTTGCATCCATCGGAGCATTTTCATATCGGTCGGTGAAGTTGTTGTTTCAGTTTGGTTGTCATTGGCCCTGTTTCTGCACCATATAACAACACCGGGGATGTCACGCCGCATCAATATAGAGGCAAGGAGATGCCATTTATTCCAGGTGCTCGTATGCGTGCTCGAACGGCAGCTTCAGCTGTTCCAGTACAATCCAGAACATCCCCTACTTATTGAAACGATGTGACTCTCTACAAAAACATAGCTATTTCGAATTTGTTGTTGTGGATTGATGCAAGCAGGACAAACAAAGTTGGACACTTTAGGTTAAGTACCAATTATTTTTGAACAACGTTTGTGACACCACTGGTTACACTGCTGACACTTGATTGAATTGTTACCTACACCAGCTTTACAAACTGAGCAGGGCCATCGTCCAGTAGCTGTGGATTGGATGGATTCACCAGTGTTCATTGCTTTGGTTTTGCTGATGTTGACTTTGAATCCATGATCGGCGAGTCTGGTGTTCCAATCTTCAAACATCTGTGCTGCATTCTGCTTAGACGTGACTGTTAAAGTGATATTACCAGCATATATTAGATTCCAAATGTCACCAGTGCGTATTGGTTTTGTGATATCTTCCATCACAGTTATAAATAACAGTGGACTGAGAATCGAGCCTTGGTGAACTCCAACGCCGATGTCAAATGTATCTGTCTTTCCAGCCGTTGTGCTGACGAGAGTCCTTAGTATTCGTATACATTTCCATCACAAGTCGAACAAGATGTTCTGATTGCTTTCTGTGCAAAAACCCCGAACATAAATAAACACTGGAATTGATTTTAACTCCCTCATAATTTTTATCAACAAAGGGGCCACTCATACATACGTACATACATGTAAGCACGAACGTCCTGTTCAGATCATGTCCCTTGTGTTATTAAGCAGGCCTTCAATGATATGTTCGTTGGAATAACCTCTGGCCGATAAATTTGTACTTAATAAGCGGCCTGTCTCATTAACCGGTGGTCCAAATAACCAGCTTCAGCTGTGTCTATATTTATATTTGTGTCTGTATATATATATATATGTATATATACACCATATACTAACAATCAAATTTCGAAAGTTTTTAACGCGTCTTGAAGAACGATTATGGCTATTTTTACTATTAGTATCTTTAAATTTTTAAGTTTTGATTTCAATATGCATTTATTTTAAACTATTGATTCTAATGCAACGTATTATTAATAATTTTGTAATGTTCGTCAAGCTCTTTCATCCAGAATTATTAGTAGAATATTCTCTGGCGCTGTAACAAGGTTATTTATCCATTTCTTGCTCATGTGAAACATTCAATAAATTTTATTGTAAACTTTATGGCGTTTTTATTTTCCAAATTTCGAACTGAACACGACCAAGACAGCATGTATATATATATATATATATATATATATATATATATATATATATATATATATATATTTTGGTAACTAATCGTTGTACTACGGTACTTTATGCGGATGACACCAATATATTTTTGTCTGGTAATGATCCGGTGGCGCTGTTCAGCGAAATGAATGAACATCTTGTTAGATACCAGGATTATTTTAAAATAAATAAATTGGTCCTAAATCTAAAAAAGTCTAGTTATATAATATTTGGACCTAAAATTAAAACTAATAATAAAATATTTATTATCTTATCCCTGACAATTGGTGACACAACCTTGTCACGAGTCGAATCAACTAAGTTTCTTGGAATTGTCATACAAAGTGACTTGAATTGGACGCAACATGTACACATGATAGCTAATAAATTATATAAAGTCATTGGCGTTGCGTACAAATTACGCAACAAGCTAACTCCAAACGCAATGCTAATGATTTATTACTTATTTTTTTACCCTTACTTCATTTATGCAATGTATTCTGGGGATCAACCTTTAAATATCTAGTAAACAAAAATACTAGGTACTTCAAAAATATTTTTTACGCACTTGCTTTTTTTTAAATAGGTCTGATCATACTAAACAACTATTTGCTAAGTATAAGATATTAAACATTCATCAAATCAATATATATATAAAACCTTTGTCATTATATATAAAGTTATAAACAATGTAAACTATAGGTTTTTAAACTCTTTTAAATATACAAAATCATCAACAAGACAGAATGGTATGCTTTGCTCTGTTATAAGTAGAACTAGGACAAATGAAAGAAATTGGTCGGTTCGAGGAATAAAGCTATGAAATGCTATTGTTAGTGTTGAGGCTAGAACTATGCCAATAAATTTGTTCAAAAATTATGTTAAAGAAAGTTTACTTAGTGATGTTGTTAAATTGGCTGAATTTTGAGAATTGTATGACTTACTGAATTTTATTTATTTTCGTTTTTTCATTTCATCTGAACTTGAATAACAATTAATTTTTGCTCAAACTTTTATTAGTAGACAGTTTTTGTTTCTATTGATTATATTTTATTCTGTTAAATATAACATTTTGATTTATTGCTTAATTCGACAATTATTGAACATCTTGCACCTCAGTTAAGGTAATCAGCACAAGTTTTCATTATAACTTCTTGATTGCCTTTGATGTCAATAAAATTTTGGAAAAATATATATATATATACTTTAGTTTCTTTAGTTCAAAACCATATATATATATATATATATATATATATATATATATATATATAGTTAGTTAAGAGGAAATATATAGAAAGTTAAGAAAGACATATCACAGTCGTTGAGAAAATTGCAATGTTTACAATGCGAGTGTACGTCAAATTGCGAGTTGCCTGACGATGTCTATACGTTCTTTCAAAACCATGTAAGTTTTAAATGGTTTTGTGATACGTGTCTCAAAGTCAACATTAACATATCACTGCTCACAGTAACAAAAGTGGTGTTAACTAAAGTTGATAACTTGAGCGTTTTGAATAATTCGATCAGAGCTGAAATGGTGGCCATGAAAGCTGTGATGGATTCAAATGAATCGAAGCTGAACAATCTTGATTGTAACAACCACTGTTTTGAAGAGAAGATGCAAATGCTTAAAAAGGATATGGACTCGACTTTGGCTGGGGTTGTTAAGAGGGGCATTGATGATGTTGGTATTGAAATGAAGAAAACGTTGGTTCAGGTCAATGATGTTAGTACAGAAGTGAAAAAAACGCTGGTTCAGGTCAACGATGTCAGGGAAAGAGAACCCAACCTCATGTTGTTTAGACTACCTGAAAAGGATAATTATAAAGATCAAGTTTTACGGATATTGCGTCAGTTGACAGAGAATAGTTTTCTCGATTTCATGCAACATTTTTCTAGTTGTTATTGGAGTATAATACAATTCTTGGTGTTCTGTTTTGAAATTTTTTTTATGGATTTAATATCTTCAAATTTCTTGTTTCGATTTTTGGTATATTGCTGAAAGTTGTTTGCTAACACATTTGCTATTTCTTCATCAGTTTCATATATCTTTTGGTTAATAATGATGTAATTTGTTTTTATTTTTTATTTTTCCATTCATTTGCCAAACTTTTTTAACAGGGGCATCCCCTTTGATGGTATTGATGTACAACTCCCAACTAGATTTTTTTCATTTCTCAAATATCTACTAGCTACATCTTTCAATTTTTTGTAATTTTTCAGATTTGCTATGTAGGGTTGTTTATGAATATTTTGAACGCTTTTTGTTTCCATTTGATTGCACTTTTGCAATTGTTTTTTAAACCAGGGATTAAGTATTTTACCTTTCTTTTTTGTGTGATCGGCGCTATTTGTTTTATAATTGTTATTATTTTTGCCCTTTTGTCCATATATTCATCATCAATTTCCTCAAACTCTTCCGTCATTTCATTTGTCATTTTTTTTTAAATTTATTCCAATATGTTTTTTGTTATTCAATCTCTTCCATTCATTATTTGTTGCTTTATTTTTGATTTTTATAATTATTGGAAAATGATCACTACCAAAGAGATCCTCCTCTGCCTCCTATTCAATATTTTCATACATGGTGGGGATATCATAGCTAGGTCAATTGTGGATGATGCATTTAAGCGCTCATGGAGCTTTGTTGGAGTAGTTAGTTTGATGAGGCAAAGGTTGTTTTCTATCATACTTTTTTTTAATTCTTTGCCCTTGTTGTTAGAGCTTTGACATTCTCATAACTGTTTGTGTGCATTAAAATCACCAGCGAGGAGAAAAGGTTTAGAAATGTGTGGAATAATTTGTTTTATTTCTTCAGCTGTCATTAAATTGTTTGACCTTATATATACCCGTTACATACGGTGAATGATTTGTTAATTGTAACTCTTGAAGCTACAAAGTGACGGTTGGTTTTTAAATAATGAGAAGATTGTGTTATGTACATAAATTACTGTTCCAGCTGATGGATTTGTCTATGTTGGAGTGGCTGCTTTGTAGTATGATGCCTAATTTTTTAAAATTATTTGTTTTGCCTCAGTTGTTATGGTTTCTTTGAGACATATGATGTGCGGTTTGTATTTACTTATTAAAATTTGTAGTTCAGTTAAATTAGTTCTCATTCATCTTATATTCCACTGTAATATTTTGATGTCGTTATTGACATTTTCATAGAAGAGGCTTCATAGAAGTTATTTTGTTTGTTATCATTGTTTTTGTTTTTCAGGTTGAGTTCAATTTTATTATTTATTTTGTTTGTTATTTATATCTTTTGTGTTTCAAGCCACGTTTAACTCTGATGGGATTTTACTTTTGATTGATTTGAAATTACTATCACTGGCATGTTTACCATCCTCACTCATCGATTAGTCATTATCTATGTCACCATCACTGAGAAACACAAATCGATCTATGCATTTATTTATATTTTCTTTTGAATTGGAAGATTTATTGTTTATCTGTTTTGTTTTCTGAATTGGTTCTGATTTTCTAATTTGTAGTTGGTTTACTGTCATGTATGGACAAAGAGATTCCAATGTGTGCTTGATCCTGGGTTTCCACACTTCACACTTATGGTTTCCTTACTTTTGCAAATTTTGTGGTGATGACCATATTTTTGGCATCAGATGCATCGCATCGGTGATGGAATGTATTTTTCTATTTTCAGATTTTGGTAGCTCACTTTTATTTCTGTTGGAGACTGTGGGTTTTGAAAAATTATTATTTAAGTGTTGGTGTTTAATTTCTATTTATTTGTAATTTTTATGTTAGATATGTCGATGATTCCTTGTCCTTCCAATTTTTTAATTTATTCTTTTGTTAATTGTTTAAATAGTGTTGTTTTAATAACCCCTTTACTAGTGTTGAGCGTTTTATAGGGATAATATTTTACTTTTGTATTTATCAAGTAGTCAATTTTTACAGCTTTTTCTATTTGAGTTTTTTCTTTTAATTTAAATACAATTCTATATGGTTAAATTTTTATAAAAATCAATTCTCCAATGTTATTTTGGAAGAATTTGTGAATTTTGAACACCGATATTTTTCCAATCTCCTGACTGCCGCTTGGACATTGTGGTTCTATTACGTAATACATCGATTCTTCAGGTGCTGCTGCTACTTCTAAGGACGAGAACACTCTTGTTCTCTTCTTTTGTGGCTCCAGTTTGGTTGAACTAGCCAGCCCACCAAGTTCGCAATTTAAATTATCGCAACTGCAGAAATTTCAGTTTAATAACGATTGCTACATTTAAAAATTTAATTTTAGAAAATTTTGAAATAAATTTAAAATTAGTAGTCCGAAAAATGGTTTTTAAACAAAATTCGAAGCTACATGACACGTATCCATAACAACCTTATATTAATATCACAAATTAAAATAAATTATAGGCTTTGATTTAACGCGTGGCGTTATTCTAACCTTTTTGGTATTTCTTTTTCTGAACTGTCAACAAGAAAGAGTCATTTGAATGCAATTTCAACATTTATTATTTTTTATTCTTTGTTTTTTTTATTAATTCTATCAATGTTTTTTTAAGACAATTGGTTAATGGAAAGTTGTCCTACAAAGACTTTGTTTGGTTTTTAATATCCGAAGAAGATAAAAGACACCCAAGAAGGTAATAAACAAAATACTTATGTAAGATGGCAATGGTTTTTGATATTTCCTCTGAAAAAATTTTTAAATACTTGACGTGAAATGGCGTAGGAAATTGATTTGTTAAAAAAGCTGGAATTTGTATCGAATTAAAGTACACTAAAAAATAATCAGGGACGTACACAAATATGTATTTTTATTTTAAATGCACTAAAAAGGCAAAGTATTTATTTAATGCTAGTCAAAACATTAACAACTGAAAATAAAACTGTCAGAATTGCCTTTTAGACGATGATTATTATTCTTATTTCTAATAAGATTAATTTACTCTTAAAGCATTGAATATTGGTTCCGATGTATGGATTTGGATGGCGATGGTGTTATTTCAATGTACGAAATGGAGTACTTTTATGAAGAACAAGTCAAAAAAATGGAACTTCTCGACATTGAAACTTTGCCATTTCAAGATTGTTTGTGCCAGGTTTTCAATAAATTCATTTATGATTTAATCTGTATCTAATTTTTAGTAGATTTACTATTTAAAAAATGTTGTGTATTGGAATCGAAGGCGTGCAAATTTTTAAGTCATATCCTTGGTTATAATATATTATTTTGCAGTGCTTTGGAGCAAGCACTTTTTTGAGTTGCTCTGCTCCAGCTCCGTTCCAGCATAAAAAATTTTGCTCCGCTCGATGCTCCGAGGCGGGAGTGTGTTTTGAAGGCAATTAACAACAAAAAAAGTTTTTTTTTGTTTCATTGGTACAGATGAGTTGATAAAAGGAAGCCATTGCCATGAAAGATTTTATATATCATAACAATTTTTTACAAGTTGAATTTTTAAAATTGTATAAAATATTAAATTTCATAAGTTAATATTTTTTTATTTTTCAATCTAATATTTTTTTGTTTTTGGAGCAAGGAGCACTCAAAATTTATGTCACTCCGACTAAATTATCGTTTTTTCTTCGTTAATTAAAATTTAAATGTGATTAGACTAATGAACATTGCAATAGTGTAACTTTTATTTATTTATTATTTAGGTATGAGTTTGTTTTTATTCAAAATATTTTTTATAGTAAAATATTGTGTAAAAACATCAAAATTTATTTGTTGCCTATGCAAATAATTTATAAAATTTAGTTTAACTTAATGTTGAATCTCATTAGATATTGGAATGAACGTTAGAATTTATCTCGTTATATTAGCCTAGATCATTTAAAGTCACCTTATTAGATATTAGAATAATCATTTAAATTCACATTATTAGATGTTAGAATGATCATTTGAATTCACCTTATTTGGTGTTAGAATGATCATTTGAGTTCACCTCATTAGTTGTTAGAACGAACATTTGAATTTACCTCATTTGATGTTAGAATGGTCATTCGAATTCATTTCATTTTATGTTAGAACGATCATTTGAATTCACCTTATTAGTGCTAGAATGATCCTTTGAATTTACCTTATTACATGTTAGAATAATCATTTACCTCATTTGATGTTAGAATGATCAGTTGAATTCATCTCATTTGATGTTAGAATGATCATTTGAATTCACCTCATTTAATGTTAGAATGATCATTTGAAATCACAACATTCGGTGCTAGAATAATCATTTAAATTCATCTCATTTGATGTTAGAATGATCATTTGAATTCACCTCATTTGGTGTTAGAATGATCATTTGAATTTATCTCATTTTTTGTTAGAATGATTATTTAAATTCACTTCATTAGATGTTAGACATGATCAATCCAGCTGAGCCTGGAAAAATCAGACTGAAAGATCTTAAGGCATCATCACTCACCACAATATTTTTTGACACGTTTTTCAATTTGGAGAAATATCTTCGACACGAGCAAAAAGATCCATTTTCGGCATTAAGAGTAGGTCTTTTTTTATTTTAATGTCATAGGTTATTTAATATGTTTCATTTTCTGGTATCCTTAATTAATATTAGTCATAAATAAGTTGACAACAAATAATTTAAATGTAAATATTTAGAAAAGTAGTATAAAATTTACAGCGCAAGCCAATAACCATTCAATTCCAAGTTTTAAAATTACTTTCCCTAAATTCATTCAACGTTCAATTCTCGGGCAAACCATTTCTGTCTTTTAGATTTGATTAGTGGCGTAAGATTTTCCCACATTTTTTGTATAGGTTTTGTGAATCAGCTTCATATCATTTTTCTTTGTCGACATAACTATTTCGATAATAACTTTTAGTAACACAATTAGTAATTGGTACGATGCCACACAATTATTCTGTACATCATTATTACACTTACTAGACCAATCATTTTATTTGCCTTTTTGATAAACTAAAAAATATATTTCTAATAATTTCAAAGTTTTTGTACTCCCATTATCAACATCGACAATTCTGAGACATTTACTTTTAATCTACAGCTTGTGAACCAATCTTTTGTAATTCACAGTAACGTAATTTATGTAGATAGAAACAGGAGCTGTCTCGACACTCTTTTTCATGGCACAACACTAGTAATCTCAATTGGCTGCTGCAGCCTTTCTCCACTTTTTACTCTGGAATGTTTTATGTCAGGAAAAGCATTCATTCCTTAACTCAATTTTAACACTATCTACTTGTTCCCATCTCGTTATATAATCCAAAAATACACCAGTTTAGTGGCTGCAGGTTTTAAAAGAAGAATTTCAAATGGCTTGAGAGAGAAGAGATTGTTACTTTTGAAATGGTTCACTATATAATTTTTATATGGATTCAAAGTTGTTGCAGGGTATCGATGTCAAAAGACAAATCTATTACATTTTTTCCCTGTTTTGTGTATAGGAATAACCGTTCTTAATTTCTAGTCCGGGTATCCAATTTTTATTGGTATGTTAAACTGGCTGGAAAAATGTGCAAACAAAACAGCACCAATTTCTTCGAGTATACGAGGGTGTATTTCATTAAGTCTTTATGTTTTATTCTTAATTTATAGTCCGCGTATCCAAGTTTTATTGGTATGTTAAGCTGGCTGGAAAATGTGCAAACAAAACAGCACCAATTTCTTCGAGTATACGAGGGTGTATTTCATTAAATCTTTATGTTTTATTCTTGTTTAGATTTTTTGTTTTTTTTTTAATCTCTTTAATTTTGTATTTTCATCTCACTGACATTTTTCGCGAAACCTTTTTTGTCTGTATCAATATCGAGTATTAATACTGAGCCAAAAAGAAATGCGACCGCCTCTACTGTATCTTCGTTTTTCGTCATCACCCGGGTGTAGCAATCCGGTGCGGTCCAGGATGATTGGAGGAAAAGTATCATCATTCTGTTTTACAAGGGTAAAGGATCGCGCCGTGAATGTAAAAACTATAGAGGCATCACTTTGCTGTCAGTTCCAGGAAAGGTGTTTGCCCGCGTCCTTCTTGATCGCATCCGTCCTCTCTTGCTGTTTCGGCGCTGTGGAGAACAGTGGCTTCACGTCTGGTATGTCTACCATCAACAGGATATTCACGCTCTCACTCCTACAGACTATACGTGGATTTGGTAAACCTCTCTGGATTGCCTACGTTGACTTGAGAGCGGCTTTTGATTCAGTTCAGTCTACAGGGATGCTATGTGGCTGTTGTTCCGTGGATTGGGCATCCCCGATCACTTGGTAAAACTGCTTAAGGCTTTATACACCCACCCCTTGAGCTGTGTTAGATCGGAGGGGCGATGCTTTTGGTGGTTCGAGATTGATAGCGGCGTCAGACAGGGGTGTATACTTACGCCGGATGAGTTCTTGGCCCCAATGGATTGGATCATGGAGCGCTCCGTACACAAAGGTATGCTCGGCACCACAATCGACAAGGAGGTGTTCACAGACCTTGACTATGCAGATGATGTCGCTCTGCTGGCTGAAATGCGAGGTGTTCTCATACTGTCGTTGGCTGCTACGTCCGAAGAGGCAAAGCCTTTTGGTTTAGAAATGAACTGGGACTAAACGAAAATTCAGACAATCTTTCTGGACGATCCGTCACCCGCGTCTGTCTCGGTTCCCAAATACACTCGTCGGGCAGTAGTCACACTGAAATTTCGCGTTGGATCACCATTGTCCGCGCGTGTATGAGGTCCCTGAATCGTGTTATATGGCACTCGGGCATTTCGGTGACGACCAAAGTTCGATTGCTATTCTATGGATGCGAGGCATGGTCAACTACTGGCGCTTATTTGAAGAGGCTAAACGCTACAGATCACTGGTGCTTGCGCAGGATCCTTTGTCTGACCTACCGCGATCGCGTCACAAATGTTTTGGTGAGAAGAAGAACACAACAACACAAGAACTCCTGTTCAGGCGTCGTCTAAACTGGTCACATAGCTCGTGCCAGTCTCATGGAGGATCATTACCGGGCTTTAAAAGCTGTCATAGACCGTCCAAGACAGTCATGGATCCGCTCAGTGGAGAAGGACCTGTCCCTCATCAACTAGGGTCCTTATTCCGCCTGGAGACTTGCTCATGATCGCTTGAAATGGAGGCACCTTGTGAGCACGGCAACGTCCCGTTATGGGACACGCCCATAATAATAATAATTCATATCAGAAGTTTTTTTCTCAACGAAAGTTCCCGTTTGGCTTCTTGATTTTGACTTTTTCAAAACGACGACATAAAAATCACGGGGTTGTCCCTTTCTTCAGTTTGGCTATCGTATATTTAGCTTCATCGCCTAATTCAGCCTTCTTATTTGTACGAAAAATTCACTTATATTTATCTTATTGCGTAGTTTGCTACAATTTAAAACAAATTTTAGGTTTGCATGACTGCTGAATTTTGTGAATATTGGCTTTTTGCTCAAACTATAACTTTATGTCCAAATTGTTCATTGCATGATTTTTTTTATCTTCGTCCGATTCAAAGTCAAATAAGCCTGGTAATGTTACAAAAATATTTATTCATGGCATTAAACTCATCCAATGCTTCTGTAAACGACTACGTTATTTATTCTTTGTTCGTTCTCTAGGTTATTTTTATTCTTATAAGTTTCATCAGGTTGAATGAAACTTGTGAAAAAATTTTTTTGTTTTGGTCTCAATTGTTTTAACTGTTATTATTTTTATATAGGTTATATTTTTTAGCTTAAAAACGAATGTGCAACGATGTCCGAATGTAGTCTAAGTCTGCAATCTGTGATTCCACGGATGAATAAATAGAAATACATTTTTAACAGTTAAATAATTAGCAATTGTAATCATTTCGGAAATAAAAATCCAAACAGTTTTCGTTGCTTTTTAATTTTATGAGACATTTAGCACATGCTCTCCTAAATAAAACGACTGATAAGGGTCTCTAATTGTTGGAGGAATTCTTCACTAAAATATTTTCTCACCCAAAAATATTTAAAAATTTGGGATTTTCATGTTTTATAGCAGTGTTAATTAAATTACTTATCAAAACTAATTTGTTTAATATGCGGTGAGTAATAAATACGAGCATCATAATAAATGACTTTATATATCAAAAATATCATCGTTTAAGAACTGCTCAGAGCAACAACGTTCTCGACTCGTTAGCAGTCGTGCCGTGCCATCTTTAGTTTTTCAATATATTCCCGCCTTCTAAACCTTCACGTTAAGATTTTTTTTATTGAAAATTTATAATTGCCAGGATGAAGACAACGGTCTGTCTGATTTTGAAAGATTTGCTGCCGAGGAGTATGAAATGCTGGTGGCCGAGGAAGGTGGTGGGGAAACGCAGCAAACTGAAGGGTTAATAATGTTTTTTATATTTAAAATTAACATTTTATTTTTAACTTTCATTTTTGATGCATCGAATGAGCAATGATAATGATAGCCATGTTTTTTAAATGTCATTCATTTGCATTTCAGGCTTTATGATGACGAAATAGACTCAGATGATACAGACTTGTTAAAATCTGAAGTAGCCTAAAAACAGTTAATGGTTTTTATTTTATTATTTTTGTTTACTTTCGGGAAGTTTATGGTTAATGAATATTTTTTATTAATTTTTCATTTTACAGTCTGATAGGATTTATAAAAATAGATAGGGGTGTAATGTAATCATGTATGTTAAAACAGATAGCTTTATAAAGTGCACACTTATTTTTGCAACATGAAATTCTATGTATTTGATTTTGAAATTTTTGTAATTTTTTATTCGATTCATCAGGTTGAAGGAAATCAGTTGAAAATGCAATAAAGAATAAAAAGAGTCGTACAAGAATTAAACGGATTTATATTTTATTTATTGTCTCTGTTAAAACATTAGTTTCAACAACGGCAATATGTATAAATTCTCAATGTGGTTGTTTCAAATTTGCATGTCATAAAATTTTCAGCAACTGTGCCGTATAAATGAGCTTTCCATCAATCAAAATATAAACTGTCCTATTTTTTTTGAAAATATGTAGTTACAGCACACATAATGAAGTCACCGTGTGTGTAAGTTTGGGTGTGCAAATTGGAGTGCGTAAGTTTGAGTGTGTACAACATGTGTAGGGCCATCGTTAAAAATCTTATTGACAATATATTATTAATTGTTTCGCTAATCTTTTCGGTTATTCAAAATAAAAGTTTATCCAACTACTAACATAGATGTCGCTTTTTCTTCCTGTGCAGTTTCGTGTTTTCTAGAAGATAAATATGTATAGCAGTATGCACTCATCTTTATTACTGAAAATAAATGCTAATAATGCGAATAAAATCACAATTATTTTTCAGTATGTTTTAAAACATAAAAATAAAGTAATTTTACTCAAAATTATAATAACATTGACTGATTTTAAATCTTTTTAAACAACAACAACACACGTTTAGACTGCATTTTCCCCGAGATCGGGGGTTGCCGTTTGGCTACCTATGATGAAACCGAAATACCCCTCGACGCCATTCACATCTGTCACTCGCCTCAGTATCACGCAACCCCGCTTTCACTCTGTCCTTCTCCACCTGCTCTCTCCATCCCAATCGCGGACGACCCCATCCTATCACTCCTTCAACCTCGGACTCTAACGCTCGCCTAATCCCGACCCTTTCATCCCTTCTCAACACATGCCCATACCACCGCAATCTCGATCTCCTTATCAATGTCACAATGTCCTCATTCAGTCCCATCATCGACATCAGCTCTGTACTACTCCTCCTATCCTTCACTTTAACCCCACACATCATCCTCACCATAGCTCTTTCAGCCCTCTGCAGTACACTTTCCTCCTCTCTCCTCAACACCCAAGTTTCACCACCATATACCATCGCTGCTCTCACACATGCTTTATATACCCTCCCTCTCATCTTTACTGACCATTTCTTTCCACACAATACCCCACCCAGTTCCCTAAATTTCATCCATCCCACACGAACTCTTGCCGTAACAGCGCTCAAACATCCTCCATCTGCGTTCAGCTTAACTCCTAAATAAACAAAACTTTCCACTCTTTCAATACCACCGCTCAACCCCGTCCTTGCGTCCGTCCTATTAATCACACCATGAACACATTTCTTACATTTGAACGTGCCTTCCACCTTTTTCAGTGCCCCCCTCAAACCACTACATCTCTTATGCACCCATTTCTGACATCCTATACTCAACACCGAGTTAGCCTTCACTCTCCTGTCACATACTCCACAGGGGTCTATTTTACTTATCACTCGCTTCCCACCTCCCCCACTCACCAAATACACTTCGTCTTATCAATAACCCTTTTAACTCTTTCTTTTCGATAACACTTTTTCATCTGTCAAATTTTAACTGCAATTCTTCCATGCTATCAGCCATCAAGACTAAATCATCTGCA